TTTATTAGAAATAAACTTTTCGTCCAAATAATTGTTAGCTTTTATTTTATAATCTCACATCGGAAAAAGAACAAAAAAGTGAGTTGTTTCACTTATATAAAGTGAATCTTAATAGTGTAGTTGTCACGCCTCTAACTCGCCACTAAAAGTTTTGGGCATGACCAATTCAGAATTGAACACTTAACCTGATACATATATCCTATGGGGCCTGAACGGAAGTGCTTGATATTAGGAAATAACATGAAAACATATCCATTGAGCCATTTCTAATATGCCTGGATCACGACTAGCAAATAAACATATAGGGAACAAGCATCAGAGAATAAGGTACATACATACGTATATATATTTACAAGTCCAGCCCAGAAATTGGGCATATACTAAAACATTAGATACAATTCAACCTTGGCCGGCAATTAGAGTATAAGATAACAAAATTGAACAAAACTGTACTAAGATGCAAAGGGCTTCTCCAAGTGCCTGGTTGTACTTTGGTTGACAAAAGATAGATGATATCGACGTTAGGACTGACCTCCAAGTTGGTTACCTACAGAATCAGACAAAATTACAGAGTGAGATAAGCTCAGTAAATAACAGTACTTAAACAGTTTAATATGCAATTTAAAACATAATACATAATAGTGCATTCATAAAAAATGGAATTCATATCGTTAGTCTAATGCTGTATTATTTTCAGAACGGCCTTGGGCCCAGTTATAACAGAACGGCCTATTGGCCCAGAAATAACAGAACAGCCATTCGGCCCCGACACCCATTCGGCCCAGAAGTATACAGAACAGCCTTTCGGCCCAGAAATATATAGAACATCCTTTCGGCCCAGAAATATACAGAACAGCCTTTCGGCCCAGAAATATACAGAATAGCCTTTCGGTCCAGAAAATATATAGATGTATATAATGCCATCATTGTTTACATTCCCACCAAATTCCAATCGATATGCATGTTGACGTAAGAATTTACGGAAATCAGAATGTTAATATCATTAAACATTTACAGTAATAAGCGTACATTCATTGTACTGTTACTCACAATGTTATTGCGGAGCGATGGTTCCTCCTGTGGTGTGTCCTATACACATATATAACATCCATTAGTTCCTTTTTCCTTTTAAACCATTTCTTGAGTCATTACATTTCAAATGAATTTACAACCATCAAAAAGGCATCAAACATAAATTCTAAAAATATCTGGGGGTTAACCACGTAAAACGGAGCGAAAATATTTTTTCAGACTTGGGCTGCACGTGCGGCCACCCCCTCCGCTCGAGCGGCCACCCCCTCCGCTCGAGCGGCCATGGACCGCACGTGTGGTGTCCCTCCTCCGCTTGAGCGGCCAAAAACAGTATGCTTCTCCATTTTTTTTTCACTTCTCCGCACGTGCGGCCACAACCTCCGCATGTGCGGCCTGGCCCCTGTTTGGCAATCCGAATTTCAAACAAAACTCAACTTAAAGGACACATGGTAAGGTTCATAATAGATCAATTTAACATAAGAAGAAAGTTCAAAATCACATGAAAAATGAATCACAAACCAACTTAGGTTCCTAATCACTTTGAATTTATAATTATAATCAATCACAATCCAACTCTTTTTGGGTTCCCTTACACACACACACACACATACACATATATGTATACATCCATCTAATCAAATAATCCAACCACATAGATGAGTATCTACATGAGATTAACAAGGAAGCAAGGTGTAACTTCTCCATAACTCAAATTAATTTCCAAAACAACCAAAACAACTACATGGTAAACATAATTCCCAATGAGACAATCATCTTTCACAAAACTTCAACATAACCTCTAGCCCTCCCAATTAAAAGGGTAAACTCACTCAAACCCAAGAAAGAACTTGATTTAAGATGGTGTTTACATACCTTGATTCAATTCTCCACCAAGCCTCTCAATTTTCCCAATTTTTCTCTCTAGGTGAATCTCTCCTTTTCTTCTTCTCTAATTCTCCCCCAGGGGATATTATTCATTGAACTTCTAAGTCAAAAATGTCCAAAGGGCTTTGATATATAGATATATATTTATATAAAGGGTGAATAAGACAAAATTCAATCGTTTAATCATCCCAAATTGAAATTTCACAGAAAATCTCATTATAGCTTAAAAATCATGCAAATTTCAAATGTCAAATCAATTTTAGAAAATTAAGTCTCTAAGGCTTCCAATTCCGGATTCAAACAGTTTAAGTGCGACAGATAATTTTCTTATTAAACAGATAGGAATCCATATTCCAAGTCTCACTTAATTCAATGTAATTTCACAATAAGCATTCAAAAATACAGAATAGAGGACTGAACAGATACCAGAATCATGTACGAGGGTCGAGGTATTACACTCTTCCCCCCCTTTAAATAAGTTTGGTCCTCCAAACTTGTTTTTACCTTAGGACGGAAATAGATGCGGATATTGGTGTTGCATTTCATCTTCCTTCTCCCAAGTTGCCTCGGTTCCATAGTGTTCTTGTCATTCCACCTTTACCATTGGGATTTCTCGATTCCGCAATTGTTTCACTTGCCGGTCCAGGATTCAGATTAGTTTCTCTTCATATGTTAATTTATCGTCCAGCATAATCTGATGGTAATCTATGACATGTGACGTGTCCGGAAGGTATCCTCGAAGCATAGAGACATGAAACACATTATGCACTTGACTCATATTTGGTGGAAGGGCAACTGGGTAAGCTACTGGACCCACTTTTTCCAATACTTGAAAGGGACCAACATATCGGGGTGTTAACTTACCCCTCTTTCCAAATCTCGGATGTCTTTTCATCGGAGTGACTTTCACAAAAACATGGCTATCTACCTCAAATTCCAAATTCCTTCGTCGGTTGTCCGCATAACTCTTCTACCTTCTCCATTGTCAACTGAACAATTTCTGGCCCTAGCAATGATCTATCTCCAATTTCAGCCCAACACACGGGAGAACGACATGGCCTTCCATATAAAGCTTCATAGGGTGCCATTTCAATACTCGAATGGTAACTGTTATTATATGCAAACTCTATCAACGACAGATGGGTTTCCCAACTTTCTTGAAAGTCCAGAACACACATTTGAAGCATATCCTCTAACGTCTGTATCGTCCTCTCGGATTGTCCGTCTGTTTAAGGGTGGAAGGCTGTGCTAAACTTTAGTTCCGTACCAATTGCATCCTGTAGACTTTGCCAGAACCTTGAAACAAATTTTGGATCTCTATCTGACACAATTGAGGCCGGGACACCATGGAGCCTTACAATTTCATTTACATAGATTACAGCAAGTTTGTTTGCATTATATTGAGTCTTCACAGGTAGGAAATGGGCGGACTTAGTTAATCGGTCGACAATGACCCATATAGAATTCATACCCCGAGGTGTCCGTGGTAACCCCACGACAAAATCCATGGTCAGATGTTCCCACTTCCATTCCGGGATTGGAAGGGGTTGTAATAATCCTGCTGGTTTCTAATGCTCTGCTTTTACTTGCTGACATTGCAAACACCTAGAGACAAACTCTGCGATTTCCTTTTTCATACTTGGCCACCAAAAATTTTGCTTCAAGTCCCGGTACATTTTAGTACTTCCCGGATGCATTGAAACTCTTGAGGCATGTGCTTCTTCCATTAGTTTCCATTTAAGTTCTAACACATTAGGGACACATATTCAATTTTGAAATTTAAGCACAGAATCCGTCAAAGTGAACCCCGGTTTCGGTTTTGTTTCCATTTCATCACATATTTTCTTTAGAGCTCCATCTTCCATTTGGCGTAATTTAATCTCCTCAAGTAATGTCGGTTGGGCCATCATTGCTGCCACTATTGTTTCCTGACCATGTATCACTAAGTCGACCTCCATCTTATTCAACTCACTTATCAACTCCTTTTGCTCTGTCAGTAAATTTGCCAAATTTCCCACATTCTTCCGACTAAGTGCATCCGCCACCGTGTTGGCTTTACCAGGATGATAGTGGATCTGCAAATCATAATCGTTAATAAGCTCTAACCACCGCCGCTGGCGCATATTCAACTCTTTTTGGGTGAAAAGGTATTTGAGACTTTTATGGTTGGTATAAATGTCGCAGGTAATCCCATATAGATAATGCCGCCAAATCTTTAAAGCAAAAACTACTGCGGTTAGCTCAAGATCATGCGTGGGGTAACTCTTCTCATGGGGTTTAAGCTGGCGAGAAGCAAAAGCGATAACTCTTCCGCTTTGCATAAGCACACAACCAAGTCCTTTATGTGATGGATCACTATAAATCACAAATCCCTCAATACCAGACGGTAGGGCAAGGACCGGAGCAGTAGTCAACTTCATTTTTAATTCTTGGAAAGTAGATTCCCGCTGTTCCGACCATTCAAATACAATTCCCTTCTTAGTCAATTGTGTGAGTGGTATAGCAATCTTGGAGAAATCCTGAACAAATCTCCTATAATATCCGGCCAACCCCATAAAACTACGCACTTCAGTCACATTAGTCGAAGTGGGCCAGCTCACGATCGCCTCAATCTTGTTTGGATCAACGGAGACTCATTCCTTAGTTATGTCGTGCCCCAGAAACGCCACTTCCCGTACCCAGAATTCGCATTTCTTTAGCTTTGCGTATAACTTCTTTTCTCGGAGGGTCTGAAGAATTAAACGAAGATGATTCTCATGAGCTTTTATATTCTCTGAGTAAATGAGGATATCGTCAATAAAGACCACGACAAATTCATCCAAATAGGGCTTAAAGACAAGATTCATCAAATCCATGAATGTCGCGGGTGCGTTAGTGACTCCAAAGGGCATGACCAGAAATTCATAGTGACCATATCGGGTTCAAAATGTTGTTTTCTCAACATCACCAGCTTTAACTTTTAATTGATGGTATTTGGACCGTAGGTCAATTTTCGAGAAGACTTGTGCTCCTTGTAACTGATCAAACAAGTCGCCAATTCGCGGCAGCGGATACTTGTTCTTGATTGTTACCTTATTAAGTTCTCAATAATCAATGCAAAGTCGGAGTATGCCATCCTTCTTTTTCACAAATAGAACTGGTGCACCCCATGGAGAGACGCTCGGGCGGATAAATCCCTTATCCAGTAGGTCTTGCAACTGAGTCTTCAATTCCCTCATCTCAGCTGGTTCCATTCGGTATGGAGTTTTAGAAATGGGTTGGATTCCTGGTAACACTTCAATCGTAAACTCGATTTCACGGTCCACTAATTCTCCTTGCAATTCTTCTGGAAAGACGTCCGGAAATTCACAGACAACTGGGATCGCATCAGTATTCTCATTCATTCTTGGCCCCTCCAAAACACTGCATAAGTACCCCTGGCACCCTTTCTGAATTAATTTACAAGCCCTTGCTATAGAAATCACATACGGTGGAGAAGTTATTCCCTGTCCCTGAAAAGTAGATTCTGATTACCCTGGAGGGTGGAAACTGATTTGCTTCGTCAGACAGTCTATAGTGGCACCATAGTCACCCAACCAATCCATTCCCAGAATAATATCAAAAGAAGTCATATCAAGTGGTAACAGATTAGCATATACACGGACATCCCCAATTAGAAGTTCACAAGCAGAATATACAGAGGTACAGATCATGGAATTTCCCATAGGTGAAGATACACACAACACATAAGTCAATTCTTCTTCAGGTTTATCTAAATTTTTCGTAAATAATTTTGACACAAAGGAACAGGTAGAGCCTGAATCAAATAAGACATAAGCAGAATGACCATGAACCATAAATGTACCTGACACCACTGTCGCTGCATTCTGTACATCTCCCGGAACCAACGTAAATACCCTGCCTTGCCTCGTAGTGTCCTTATTGTTAGCAGGTTTAGTAGCTGACTTGGCATTAGGAGCCAGTGTAGACCCTGCTGAGCTTGTGGCAGCCTTATTACCATTTTGTTGATTCCTTTGCGGACAATCTTTTATCAAATGACCCGTTTTTCCACATCGAAAACATGCTCTAGACAATCGGTGACAAATCCCACGATGCCTCCATCCACATTCTGGACACACAGGAGCTGAATTTTGAGTAGAAGTAGTAGTGCTGGAGGTCCCTGAATTTTGCTTCTTGTTTGGTGGAGTAGTTGACCCCTTGAACCATTGGTTATTCTGCCTCTTTCCTTTCCATTCAAAAATCCGAGTCTGAGTAGCAATATTCCCTTCTGCTATAACAGCCCTTTCTAACACATCAACGTAGGTAGGCAACTTTAACACATTAACTCGATCCAAAATAGCACCCCGCAATCCCTCTTCAAACTTCCGCACCTTCTTATAATCTGTATCTACCATATGAGGTACAAATCGGGCCAATTCTACAAACTGAGCTTCATACTCGGCAACAGTCTTATTTCCTTGTCTAAGTGTTTCAAATTCGGTTACCTTCTTGTCTCGCATACTTTGGGGAAAATATGTCATAAAACAGCTCCAAGAATCTATCCCATGTCAACCCCTGGTGTACTGTCTTTATAAGCATCCACCATCTCCGCGCCTCGTCTTCAAGAGTGAAAGCAGCAAGTTGCACCTTTTGAACTTCAGTACAAGGAAAGACTTCGAATAATTTTTCTATCCCCAGCACCCATGCCTCAGCCTTCATTGGTTCGATTCCTCCTTTAAACGATGGTGGTTTCATCTTTTTAAACTCCTTTGTAAGTGTAATGGTTTGGTCCTCCGCATGAAAATCTTGCATTACAGGTGGGGGTATTGGTGGTGGTGGCGGCTATGGCTGTTGTTGTTGTTGTTGTTGCCGTAGAGTCTCTGCCATTTCCATAATCATCCTTTCCATCCTATCCGAGGTAGCATCTTCCTAATCTTCGGTCCTTGTTCTCACCATGGTCTACAAGACAATCAATTACAACATACACAAAAGAATACAATAGGCATTGATCATCATCATTAGCATTAGCAGAAAACATTTAATGTTGCTATCGATCTTTCATATATCCTCAAAACGTTATGCATAATGCCTAAATCTTTCTAGACATCCTAAGGCTTAATGGACCCGTGTGTGAGACAGCAACTCGTGCTTTGATACCATTTGTCACGCCCCTAACTCGCCCCTAAAAGTTTTGGGCATGACCAATTCAGAATTGAACACTTAACCTGATAAATATATCCTATGTGGCCTGAACGGAAGCGCTTGATATTAGGAAATAACATGAAAACATATCCATTGGGCCATTTCTAATATGCCAGGATCACGACTAGCAAATAAACATATAGGGAACAAGCATCAGAGAATAAGGTACATACATACGAATATATATTTACAAGTCCAGCCCAGAAATTGGGCATATAATAAAACATTAGATACAATTCAACCTTGGCCGGCAATTAGAGTATAAGATAACAAAATTGAACAAAACTGTACTAAGATGCAAAGGGCTTCTCCAAGTGCCTAGTTGTACTTAGGTTGACAAAAGATAGACGTTAGGACTGTCCTCCAAGTTAGTTACCTACAGAATCAGACAAAATTACAGAGTGAGATAAGCTCAGTAAATAACAATACTTAAACAGTTTAATATGAAATTTAAAACATAATACATAATAGTGCATTCAAAAAAATGGAATTCATATCGTTAGTCTGATGTTGTATTATTTTCAGAACGGCCTTGGGCCCAGTTATAACAGAACAGCCTTTCGGCCCCGACAGCCATTTGGCCCAGAAGTATACAGAACAGCCTTTCGGCCCAGAAATATACAGAACAGCCTTTCGGCCCAGATATATACATAACAGCCTTTCGGCCCAGAAATATACAGAACAACTTTTCGGCCCAGAAAATATACAGATGTATATAATGCCATCATTGTTTACATTCCCACCAAATACCGATCGATATGCATGTTGACGTAAGAATTTACGGAAATCAGAACGTTAATATCATTAAACATTTACAGTAATAAGCGTACATTCATTGTACTGTTACTCACAGTGTTATTGCGGAGCGATGGTTCCTCCTGTGGTGTGTCCTACACACATATATAACATCCATCAGTTCCTTTTTCCTTTTAAACCATTTCTTGAGTCATTACATTTCAAATGAATTTACAACCATCAAAAAGGCATCAAACATAAATTCTAAAAATATCTGGGGGTTAAGCACGTAAAACGGAGCAAACATTTTTTTCGGACTTGGGCGGCACGTGCGGCCACCCCCTCCGCTCGAGCGGCCATGGACCGCGCGTGCGGTGTCCCTCCTCCGCTCGAGCGGCCAAAAACAGTATGCTTCTCCATTTTTTTTTCTCTTCTCTGTACGTGTGACCACGACCTCCGCACGTTCGACCTAGCCCCTGTTTGGCAGCCCGAATTTCATACAAAACTCAACTTAAAGGACACATGGTAAGGTTCATAATAGATCAATTTAACATAAGAAGAAAGTTCAAAATCACATGAAAAGTGAATCACAAACCAACTTAGGTTCCTAATCACTTTGAATTTATAATTATAATCAATCACAATCCAACTTTTTTTGGGTTCACTTACACGCACACACACACACACACACACACACACACACACACATATGTATATATCCATCTAATCATATAGTCCAACCACATAGATGAGTATCTACATGAGATTAACAAGGAAGCAAGGTGTAACTTCTCCATGACTCAAATTAATTTCCAAAACAACCAGAACAACTACATGGTAAACATAATTCCCAATGACACAATCATCTTTCACAAAACATCAACATAACCTCTAGCCCTCCCAATTAAAAGGGTAAACTCACTCAAACCCAAGAAAGAACTTGATTTAAGATGGTGTTTACATACCTTGATTCAATTCTCCACCAAGCCTCTCAATTTCCCCAATTTTTCTCTCTAGCTGAATCTGTCATTTTCTTCTTCTCTAATTCTCCCCCAGGGGATATTATTCATTGAACTTCTAAGTCAAAAATGTCCAAAGGGCTTTGACATATAGATATATACTTATATAAAGGGTGAATAAGGCAAAATTCAATCGTTTAATCATCCCAAATTAAAATTTCGCAGAAAATCTCATTATAGCTTAAAAATCATGCAGATTTCAAATGTCAAATCAATTTCAGAAAATTAAGTCTCTAAGGCTTCCAATTCCTGATTCAAACAGTTTAAGTGCGACAGATAATTTTCTTATTAAACAGATAGGAATCCATATTCCAAGTTTTACTTAATTCAACATAATGTCACATAGAATTTCACAATAAGCATTCAAAAACACAGAATAGAGGACTGAACAGATACCAGAATCATGTACGAGGGTCGGATTATTACAGTAGTATTGTGTATACTTCAATTCAAGATAGTTTAAATTTTAAAATTAAAATAATATTTAAAAGTTTTGATTAATTAATTTTTATATAAGTTGGTTGGTCATTTGACCTAATTGATTAGGCTGAACCATTTTGGGTTTGACTAATTCGCTTGTTTAATTGCGATTTCTCATACTGATTTTATTAATTTTAAACAGTTAAAAAAAATTCATTGGCTAACCATATAAAAATAAAAATCTCATTAGTTTATGATTTATTTTATAATCCTACATTGGGAGAATGAGAAAAGGCAAAGTTTGTTTCATTGTATTTATTATATAAGGAAAATGGGGTTTTTAATGAGGGGCTTTGTGAGAGTTTCAATATTTCATACTAATTTTCTTGATTTTCTTAATTTTAAACAATTAAGAAAATCTCCATTGGCATTTAGCTACATAAAAATAAAATTCTAATTAGTCTATGATTTATTTGATAATCCCACATCTGGAGAAGAACGAAAAAAATGAGATGTTTTAATCATATAAAGTGAATTTTATGATCCCATTTAATATTATAGTGTTGTGCATGTTTCAATTCTAGACAATTTAAATTTTAAAATTAAAATAACATTTTAGAGTTTTAATTAATTAATTTTTGTATAAGTTAGTTAGCCATTTAACCTAACCGATTAGGCTGAACCATTTTCGGGTTAATTGATTTGTCGGTTTAACCATGATTTTTTATACTGATTTTCTCTATTTTAAACAATTAAAATATTTTTCCATTGGCTAACTTCTATATAACCACATAAAAATAAAACTATAATTAGTTTATGATTTATTTTATGATGCCACATCGGGAGAAGAAAGAAAAAATGAATTGTTTTACTTATATAAAGTAAATCTTATACTTGCATTTAATATTGTAATCTTGTGCATAGATCAGGTCAAGGTAGTTTAAATTTTAAAATAAAAACTCTAATTAATTTATGATATGATTTATTTTATAATCTCACATTGGGAGAAGAAGGAAAAAATGAATTGTTTCACTTATGTAAAATTAATCTTACACTCCCATAACTATCTATCTATCTATAGATCATATAAGGAAAAGGGAATTTTTGGTGAGAAGGCTTGTGAGAGCTCCAAAGTCTCATTCCATAATTACTAATCTTTATGATTTTAAAAATATTTAAAAATAATTCTGTTGGCTAACGAAGTATTTATAGATTTAAGAAGAAAAAAAAAACAAAAAAACAAAAAACCACCTAAAATTTTTAATTACAAGTTCCCAAAATCTCTCTCTCCCAATATTTCTCTCAGTTAATACACATTTAAAAAATATTATACATTAAAATAAATATATATATATAAAAAAAAAAACAAAAATCTCATCTCATAACAAAGTAATTATAGATTAAAAAGAACATAAAACCACAATTGCTAATTTTTGTAATTTTAAAAATAGTACCATTAGTTAACAAAGTAACTATAGATTTTATAAAATAAAATTAAAAAAAAAACTAAAATTTCTAATTTTTGTAATTTTAAAAATAATACTATTGGCTACCAAAGTAACTATAGATTTAAAAAAAAATTAATTGAATTATGAGTTTCTAATATCTCTTCCCTAGTATTTATGTCTTTCCTAAATCTCATAATCTATCTATCTATGCTATATATTATACCAAAGTAACTTTTTATCTTAGAGGCCCTAAGTATTTCAAAACCTTAAATCTAATTTTTTGAACTTTTGATTTTTTTTTTTAAAAAAAAAAATTTAAAACATTTATTGGCTATTCCAATGAGAAAACAAAAACATTGTAACACCCTCAAAATATTATATAAATCAACCATTCATAAGATCTAGAGACATAATAGAAATGTTCTATTTTCATTCATCAGAGTTAATATTATAAAAGATATCACATGCTTTACACTTTCATAAATGTCCATCCTGAAACTATAGCATGAGAATTAGGAAGATCGAAACTAATCAATTAAATTATGTCATTGAATATGACGGTTTGATTAAACCATTGAGTATGTGATTTAAATGGCCATTGTATACGACAATGTGTTTAAATACATTGTATATGTATCGTTGTATAGGTGGAGATAGGGGATGTACTCCATTGCATGGGAGGAGATAGGGGATGGACTCCATTGATAATTAAGTTGGCCGAAGTGTCTTGGGTGAAAGTCCCGAAATCTTATATATTTATGGGTGCCAGTTCCCTCGGACGTGGTTCCGTAAAATGGCAAGAAATGGAAGTGTTGGATTGATTAATGTATCGGATTGTGAACCATTGAGTAGTAGTCTCATATTGGTTGCTTTAATAATAATGAATCTGGTTAATTGATTTACCCGGAATGTAAGACTGGAAATGAATTGA